CTTTCCCTTGGCTGACGCGCATTTGGGTGTTAAGTTTTTAAGACGTTTTTGGTTTCCTCTGTGCCAGGCCCCACCAGCTCTAAGCGTTTTATATGTGCCATCTCAGCGGCATTTTGTAGCAATTCCCACGACGCTGTATGGAGGACGCTCCGGGACCGTCTTTATTTCACACAGAAGCCAGGGAGCCAGACGCCCCCCCGCGGCCTGCACCCACCCTCATGGCCCGGCGGCCTCTCACCGTTCCTGGGGCTCCCCTCCAGGCCGGCAGACGGAGCTCTGCCTTAGGGGCCCCCCGTCCTGGCTGCGGTGGGGACGGACAGCCCCCCTCGGTCCCCAGCCTCCCTCCTCCCCCTGCCCTCTCTTTTGATCTCCAGAATCCAGGCCCTTGGAGAAATCAGACAGTATGAAATATGAAAACTGCTGGGAAGTAATTGAAGAAACACTGGGACTCTTGAAGCCTGTGGAGATAAGGCTCACACCTTCTCGCTCACGTTATTTAATTTTTAATGGCAGGCTTAATTAATCGAGATCGGGTCTTCTGGTTTCAGACTCGCTCGCAGCAGCTGGAGGGGGAGGAGGGGCCCTGAAATCGTGGGGTCTGAATCTAGGGGAGGAGAGATCACCGGTCGCGGGGAGCAGGGGGCAGCGGGGCTGCGGGGGTCGCTGTGTCGTCCACGCGGCCGCCCCACCACGCCGCGCGCCCTGAAGAGTGGAGCCTTGCTCGGCCCCATTGCCTGCGGCCGGGCTGCCGTGGGACCTTCAGCGCTCAGCACGGTCTTGGTGGGGGGCCCCCGGTCCTTCCAGAAGCCCCTTGGTGGAGTCTGCGAGGGCCCTGCTCTCGCTGGCTGAGGCCTCAGAGTGCACGGCTTCCAGCGGCCCCAGGAAGCTGGGCGGGCACGGAGCTGCTCCCTCAGGGCGCGTGCGGGGGGCCTTGGGGGGCAGGGGGTCGCTGGCGGTGCCTGACCTGCTCGGGCCGGTTAGATGGGCAGAGGGCGCAGCAGGGGGCTGTCCTCTGAGTCATCCTGAGGCCGCAGAGGAAGCTGTGCTGGGGTTATCGCCACGCCTTGGCCCGCGGGCACTTCCTGCGACTAGCCTCACCGACCACAGGTTCAAGCTGAGGTCGCAGTCAGTGCAGCCACTGACGCAGGTCTCCCCAGCCGGGCGGTGCGTGGAGGTGCGGCGTCCCAGCGTCCGTGGGCCCATCTGGGCTGCGGGTGCTCCCCTGGGAAGGGACGGTGCCCGGCTGCCCTCCCAGGAGGGCAGGCCTCAGCCGCGAGGCTGTCTGCGGGAGGGGACGGGCAGCGTGGCTGGGGGCTTGTGGCTTCAGAAGAGGCAGTGGGGGCGTGTGGGTGGTACGCTCGTCCCGCGAGCCCGCGCCTCTCGGCGCCCCGCGGGGAGGGCTGCCCGCCTGACGGCTAGGAGACAGGGCTCGAGGGAGGAAGTGACCCAAAGAGCAGACGCCGCGTGCAGAGAGCGTTAAAACATGGACGTCCCAGGAGAGCGTCTGCTCAGCGGAGAGGGCCTGGCCTGATTCACCTGCGTCCTTACTCCCTCCCCAGGGTCAGTGTTGGTTGACCGTCCACTGGTTGAGGTGGAGTTGGAATCTCTTGGCTGGAGCATCAGCGCTGGACGGCTGGGCATCAGCACGTCCCTGTGGAGGGGGCCAGCCGGGCTGGGTGGGGAGAGCCCCCGTTTATTTCATGCCTGTTGTGCGCTGGGTGTTCGCAGCTCCCATTGACCATCAGAGGGGCCTCGGCTGTCTCCCTGGTTCAGGGGTGGGGAACATGCCAGGGAGCGGCGGGGTGGCCTCAGTCTGCAGCTGGGGGTGGCAGCCCGGTAGCGGGCTCGCCCCAGCACAGCCCAGAGCAGAACCCCTGCCCTTCATGGGCTGAGCTGCGCCTCGGAACACCCTTCCGCGTCCCTCCCAGCTGGCTCTTCCCAGAGGCCGTGGTACCAGGATAGCGCTGCTGGCCTGGTTCCGCCCCCCACCCCGGGTACAGACTCCGCCTTTGATGCCCTGTGGGTGATTCGGGGACGTGCTCCCCGCGCCTGCTGTGGTTACCTTCCCTGCAGGTGGATGATGGGGCCCATGGGGTACGGCGCTTGCCCCGCACGGCTCTGATCTGGGCACCTGTCACCTCTTCTGGTCCGACAGGTTCGTTCCCTTTGGGCCAGGCTCCCTGTGTACTCAGTGGAGGTGGAGTGGGAGAGCCGGGCTTGGAGGCCGACGGGCCGTGGGGTCTCCGTTTCCACGGGTCCCTTCACCTGCCTCACTGGCTGCTTGCAGGGCCTGACGGACCGGCCCCCGCGGGAGCCCTGAAGCCGGAAGCCTGCGTTTGCCCATCTGTGGTGGGAAGGGGCTACCCCAGGCTTGTGCGGGCCCAGCAGCTCCACAGGGCATCTTGCTGGGGCGTCTGACGCCAGCCCCGTGTTGGGCTTCCTTTGGGTGGTTTCGTTCTCGAGCCCGCGTCCTTGGAGATGTCGGGTCCACCCGTGAGCCTCACGGGGCTCCGCCAGAAGCTGCTGTTGGGGGACAGCTGTGCTTACGTTGGTCTCCTCTGGAGACGTGGCACGCGGGGTGCTGGGCCTGGGTGGGCTGAAGCCAGTCTCCTTGGGGCACAAAGAAGTGGCGTGACTGACCGGAAGGATGCTGCGGTGGCCCCAGGCTCCGGCCCAGCTCTGTCCTGCTGCCGTCCCCACACTGCCGGCCCTGAGCACACACGGGGTGACCTCGGAAGGAGGGCAGCATGTGCCTCTGGGACTGCCTGGCAGTGCTGGTGAGTGTGGGGGTCCTGGGCTGTGGTCCTGGCACCGCTGCCTGCTGTGTGGCTTCGGGCAAGTTGCTTCACATCTCTGGGCAGCAGAGTCCACGTAAGGATGGGGTTGGAACAGACGAAGGCACGGCAAACTCTTTCTTTAAGATAGTGACCGTCTTGGGCTGTGTGGGCCTCACTGCCTCTGTGGACACTGTCGTAGCCCAGGAGCAGCCACAGCCGTGCGATCTCAAATCGTGGGCATGGCCGTGTGCCCATAAAACTTTATTTACACGGTGGGGCAGGCCGGGCCGGGCCTCGCTCGTGGCGGAGGTGTGACCCCTGAGCCAGGGGCTCCATGTGTCCTGGCAGGCGTGGCTGGTCCACGAGGAGCTGGGCTCTCCCGGCCATCCTGGTCAGGAAGTCGGCATGTGTGGACTCAGCCCGGCTGCGGGTGGGGTTGCGGCCGCAGAGAAGCTTCCATCTGGTAACCGGTCGGGTCCGTTTTCTCGTTGCAGAATGTCGAGACGTACAGACTGTCTTCACAGCAGTTCCACAAGGCAGCCTCGAAGATGGAGGGTGCGATCCAGTAAGAGCTTTCTCCTCCTGAACTCCACCTGCCTTTGTAAAATCTCCCTGCCCCGAGGCCTGATTGCAAGCTTCTTGAGGGGCTCGGATCCCCGCGCCTGGGGTTGGGGCAGAGCCAGCCACTCCAGGACCAGGTCCTCCATGTCCTGTGAGCTGGGCCGGGTGCTGCGCTCAGGCCCCTGAGGGAGTCAAGAAGGGGTGCTGCTGGACCCCCCCCC